AAAAAAAAAAAAAAAAAAAAAAAAACAAAAAAAAAAACCACCACCACTGAAAGCCTTGCTGAATGATGTTGGATGCTTCACTGCACCAGCAGTATTTTTTAAGTATTGACTTCTGTGGCTCTTGGGGGGAAAAAAACCAACCAAACAAACAACTACCTTTGATATTCTAGACAATCTAATAATTTAGATAGCAAGATATTTCTTAGCATCCCTGCTGTTTTACCAGGAAAAGAACCAGACGGTTAAAGACTTTGGTGGGTTTCAATCATGATGACACTACTGATAGAGTCTGGCTTTGCAATTTCTACCATGTCTAATCTGACACTGAAGCATGTTTTTTTACTTTAAAAGGCAGACATAGAAAGCTGGGTTTGATTTTTTTTTTTTTAAATTTATTTTGGTTTTTTTCATGCTTCTTGGTTGTGTATTTTAGTTTTTATTTAACTCTTAGGAATACATTATATGCAAGCAAAGAGCATGTTTAACGTTTTACACTGTTGAACACTAAAATTATGTGGTCCGTGGCATGAAATTATACAAGGTAGAACTTTGAATATTATAAAATTGCTTTGTAAATGCCCTTTGAGAAGTATTTTGCAGAACTACTTACTTCATGTTCTAATAACATAATCTGTATAAAGCTGCCTTTAAGCTTTGTAGTCTTCCTTATACATGACAGCTTTTTGCCTGTCATCCTTGGAGTAGAAAAGACCATCCCTCGTGATACTTGGGTTTCCCTTATTGTGGTGTTTGGGGATGTCATTTGTTGTCTCCGGGGTCAGAGCAGCCTGGCTCAACTCATTAATGATAACAGAAAGGCAAAGGAGGGAAAGGAGAGCGGTTTGACAGAAACCCAGAGTGAGATGGAGGAGGTGAACAAGAGACAAGAGTTCACTGTCTCTTCTTGTTCAAGAGCTAGGTAAGGCATTAAATGAGACTCGCAGGTGGCAGGTTCAGGACCAACAAATGCAGCTACTTTCTCAGCAGTTAGGCCGTGGAAAGACTTGTCACAGGATGCTGTGGATGTGATGTACAGGTTTACATTGATTCAGCGGCGATTTGACAGTTGCTACAGGGTTCATAGATACAGAAACATGATCTTCAGTTGAATGAATATTAAGGTTTGATCCTGGAATTACAGGGCTACAAGGGGAATTGGATGACTGTAATGCAGTCTGTGGTTTTAGACAATAAAAGCTTTGTAGAGTATAATTGATGAAAATCATTTTATAAGTAATTTGTCTTTTCTTCACTTGTCCAGATCAGATAAAACTACAGATGACATGGCCGAAGTCAAGACAACACATGAACTGATGAGAAACAGCATTGCCTTTTGAGAACTTTAGCCTCCTAGTTGCTGGAAATCCTAAGTGCAACTTTACTGCCAAAAGAGACCCTGACATTATGTGATCATTCAGCAGAGTTTGCAAGAATGGAAAAGCAAAGGACCCCACTAGCTGTATCGCATAAATAAAAATTTCCAAGATTCAGCCAAATCAAAAAATTATTCCAGCCATGGGAGAAAATGCAAGTTTTTGGGAAAGTTTGATATATGCACATCCTACCTGTACCACCTGGAAGCAAGAGGCAGAGGGATCTATCTACCACCTAGCCAGTATTCTCTTTGTTGTGGGCTTCATGGGTGGAAGTGGATTCTTTGGGCTTCTCTATGTCTTCAGCTTGCTTGGATTGGGCTTTCTCTGCTCTTCTGTTTGGGCTTGGCTGGATGTCTGTGCTGCTGATATATTCTCCTGGAATTTTATACTGTTCACTATATGCTTCGTGCAGTTCATATACGTTACCTACCAAGTTCGGAGTGTTTCCTTTGACAGAGAATTCCAGGAACTCTACAGCGCTCTTTTCCAGCCTCTGGGAATTTCCTTGACTGTCTACAGGAAGATCGTCTTGTGCTGCGATGCAGAAGTGGTTACCCTGGAGAAGGAACACTGTTACGCCATGCAGGGCAAAACACCTATTGATAAACTGTCCTTGCTTGTGTCAGGCAGGTTTGTATTGGCTTGTTCAGACTTACTGCAAATATCTTTTTTTCTTCCTCCTTCTTGAAAATGTAAGAAAAAAAATTTGTGTATTGTTTGTTCGTTTTCCAGTACAATATATTAAATATTAATGCAAGTAATATAAATATTAATAGGCTAAATACACTTGTCTAAGACAGCACTAGCATAAAAACACTAAGCACAAAATCTGTAATGGCTTAAAGAAAAGGATTTTAAATCATTCTTTTCCAGACCACTGTATCATAGCACTTAACAGGTTAGGCAGATAAAGGGAACAAATGTCCGCCTCAGTCTTCAGGCTATGGTTTGCTATCTGTCTACTGCCTAGCTGATGAACACAGCATCTGTCTTATTTTTCCTCTTCTAGTATCATCTGAAACAGGACTAAGAGGTAGTTATGAAACTGAATATACAGAGATAAAATCTGTTTAATAGAGATCTTGACTTCGATACAGATTGTATTTGGTTGCTTTCTTGGGGGTGGGGGAAGGGAGGCAGTAAGGGAGAGGAGAAGGCCTAAAAGCGCCCTTCCATTACAAGGGGACATAGTCGAGCCCTGTCAAGATTTGCAGAACTGAGTCTACAGTTACTGTATACTGTGGCTCTTAGACCCTGAGGCAATAAATCCACCTGCTTGTACTCCTTGCTTACTGGAGACCCTTCTGGCAATCTTGCTGATGCTTTCCTGAAGGGAAATGCTGGCTTTTGTACTGTATACAAAGTGGTATACCAAAGACCAATATGTACAAAGACCACCACAAGAGTAGATGGGATACCCAGAAATGATGGCCATGGTCTGTCTTTGATGGGACACTTCGTAGATGCATTTTGACAGCCTGCTGCACGGACAGACAGAATTTGTAGACAGCTTGAAGCTCAGCTGATTTAGGACTACTTGCAATGAACAATATGGATTTTAAGTAGTTGTCCCTAGTGACAGCCCGGTTCAGAGCATTCTTGGGAGCTGTCTAGAAAGTACCACGTGGAGGTTGCTTTTGGTCATAGTCATGCTGAAGGAGAGCATCCTTCTACATGCCCAGCCAGTTAGTAACCATGCAGGGAGTTCCTGCTACCCTCCTTCGTGCAGTATAGGGCTGCTGCTTCTGATTTTGCAAGAAGCATTAATCTCGGTGCAGAGCAGATGTAAAAAGGGGACTCCTACAGCTTGCTTTTCTTCTTTTAGCTCATGAGGTTCAAGCGTACATTTCCTGCTTGTGTGCCTTCAAACTTAAGTATGATTTAAAAAGTAGAATGAAAATATTTCTTTGTCATCTGCAGAAGGCCACAGCATTCACACAGAGATCCCATACCTTCATGCTGTTCTCCTGGCTCCGGAGACAGTCCTGTGGCAATGTAATTCCTGTTAAACATTGAGAGAGCCCTACCTAATGCATGCCATGGGGAACTCCTACTTCCCACTCCCTGTATTTGCCACTTTGTTCCCTCTAAAATGCCTATTTGCTAAACCTAGAAGTGTATCCTGTGCCTTTCAAGTGAAGGAGGCAAACAGTGTGTGCATTGGTCTTTCACCTCTCCAGTGCACGCTGGCCTTTTCATGACAAGGCTTGCATGTTGCTGCACGGACCTGCCCCAGAGAGAATAATATGACTTGAATAAGGCCTGGAAAGATTTCCATTTCAGTTGCAGGATTGTCTTGTATTCTCTTTCAACTGGCCTGATCAAGTTGTGTTCAAAAATATGATTAGGATACTGTTGGCCAGTGATTGCTTTTTCATGCTCTCAGAGCTATATTTAAAGTCCTCACATAGTAGAAATAACACATTCTTGTTGCAGTCGTTGCTGCTGTACAGGTAGTACTAACAAATTAACACATCTTATCTTGGTAGGATCAGAGTGACAGTTGATGGGGAGTTTCTGCATTATATTTTTCCTCTTCAATTTCTGGATTCTCCTGAATGGGATTCACTGAGGCCCACAGAAGAGGGAATTTTCCAGGTAAAAATAGGGGGCGGGGTTTGAATACTATGGAAAACTGGTCAAGTGCTAATTGGTAAACTTCATTTAGTTGTGGGTTTTGTTTGTGAAATTACACAAACAAGTGGCATTCTGCTGGTTTGGGGAGGGAAGTCCTCTTTACCCGCTGGACCGGTTGTGCTGTTTGTATCTTCTTTCTGTTTGCATCTTTTCGTTACAAAAACTGGGGTTTTTTTAAAGCTAATCTGGAAGGTGGACTCTGTTTGCGTTCTTTGGCTGTGCTAAATCCCAGCCCTGAGAAACCAGGTTTGCGGGAGGTGGGTGGAAGCTGGTGCTGGAGAGGCTTCCCTGTGGGAGGTGAACTGGAGAGCCCGTGCTGGGGACAGGTGTGCCTGTGGTGCAGCTTGGCACGGGGGGACAGCGTGGGACACGGTGCCCATCGGGGCTGCCTCCTGTCATCCCTGAGCCCTCCCACTGCTGTCACTGGACCGACACGCTAGCTGCTGCCTGTGTGGGATCTGATGTCTCCTGTCACGAGGACAAACGGCATTTGTCAAGAGCTTTCTTTAGACCTGCCTTTCCAGCTGGGGCTGCCGAGAGCGAAGCAGGGAGTGCAGGGCCGAGGCCGGGGCGCACCGGCAGCGTGCATCCTGGCTGGGGCTGCCGTTCAGCGCGAGCAGAGGCATACTGTCACTGAGGCTGACAAGATACAACCTTTCGGTCCATTCCCCATCACCCTTCTCACTTGTCTTTGCCGTACAGTAGACCTCGCAGAGCGCTCTGGCTGGATTAAATGGCTTTAATTGCAGTAGGTGCAAAGACGCAGTGTACGTTACAGACGCAGCCTGCGTGCCTGCTGAGAGAGAGGGGATGCTTTCTGAGCGAGGGCAGCAGCGGCAATATCACTGCCTTATCTAGCTAATTTTAATTTTCTTTTCTATAGGTAACACTTACAGCAGAGACAGATTGTCGGTACGTGGCCTGGAGGAGAAAGAAGCTGTATCTGCTGTTTGCTAAACACCGTTTCATCTCCCGCCTGTTCTCAATTTTAATTGGGAGCGACATTGCTGAAAAACTGTATGCCTTGAATGACAGAGTGCACGTGGGGAAAGGCTTTAGGTACGACATTCGGTTACCGAACTTCTACCACGTTTCGCTGCCAGAGACCCCTCCGGTGCAGCCCTCCCACCACCTACAGAGGGGGTCCCCCCGGCGCAAGCCCACGGGGGTTAGAAACTGCGACTCCTTCAGCACACAGTCTTAGGAAGGAAAACTCTGCTGCAGCCGTTCCCCGAAGCGATGAGGGGAAATGCAAAGTGGTGAAGGAGAAGAGCAGAAGGATGAAGCAGAATGAGACCCAGTCAAGCCAAATTTGACTGACAAGTGCCATTTACTTTCATTGGAGTAGCTTGAATTCTTCCTCTCTTTAGAGCCAGCAGGTTGGCTTCTGCATTTTGACTGTTTGTGCAATATGTTTAGTTTCTGTTGATTCTTTTGTTGATCTTCATCTCCTTACGTTTGGAGGAAAACAAATCCTGACAGGCTGAAGTTGTATTGTAATTGTGGTGGCCTCTGTGTTGTGTTTTTAAAAAAAACAAACCCACAGTATTTGTAAGTATACTTTCTCAAAATTATTTGCCATAATGAAGTATAGTCAGTATAGTCAATGAAAACAAGTAAGTTGTCTTCAAAATATAGCAACTTGCTTGTAACATTCATATTTATGCCACGTGAACAGCGTCTCAATTAACATGAAGAATATTGCAGAAAAAGACAAGAGACGAATTGTATTGGTTTTGTTTTTTAAAGAAATGAAAGATTTTGAAATGCACAGCAAGATTCTTAAAAAACAAACAAAAGAAAATGACACATTCTGTCCCATGGGCGATGGGTTTCTCTGACTGTCCTAAAGAGGTATTATCTGAAAACAAACATAAATGTAATTGCTGGCATTAGAAAAGTATAGCAGTTGTACACTGCTGCAAATACAGCTTAGGGAAACGATTGTGTAGTGTTTCTGATAGAATGTGATGCTATAGGACCTAGGCTTCCACGGTGTCAGTGCCATTCGTGACATGTACAATAAATACTGTTAATCAATCAACTGCCAACCCATTGGAGTTTGTTTTACAATATTCTTTTTAGCCAGGTTTGTCAGGATGAAACTAAGAAACGGCCGCAGCAATAAATACAATTTTTAACCGAAACATTCTTGTTTAGCTTCCAGAGTCGCTTTTCTGTGCCTATGAAACTCTTGATTTAAAAGGTATTCTCTCCCTAATTCTGTGTGTTTTAATGGCGTAAGGGAGCACCAGCTCACGCTTCGGTAGGAGAAAGCTGGTTTCGACCCTTGAGGTCACTGTGCCTTTGGGGAGAAGTGTCTGAATGTCTTTGCTAACTCACCTTCCTGCTGCTGTGCCTGATGCCTGCCAGTAATCAAAAAATAAGAAGCATTACTATTTTATGAGACTGTATTGCTGCTTGGTAGATGACATTTTTAATATTTTAAAATTGCTGGACTGTTTGGTAGGACACCCATTGTGTGTTTCTGTCTGTGTGGGTATACGTACGAGTTTAGATCTTGGAAGTTGTTGCTGGAGGACTTAAAATAATGATACAACCGCATGCTTGAAAGATAATCATGCAGTATATATAAGAAAGCTATTAGAAGTGATATGAAACACCACCTGTTTGAAGGACTTTCTGTGTAGAGCAGGTAACGTTGTGTGAGTTTTGCTTTTAGCTTTATGTCCTTTTCCCAGAGAGGAAAATCTGCCAAACATAAATACCATAGCATGCAATGTGATAATCCCCAAATCCTTCTAATAACCCTTCCACGCGATGTATTCTGTACGTATTCCTTTAATGTGTGAAGTCCCTGAGTCACAAAGCTACTTTGTCTTGGTCAAAAGAGAATTGAAAAAATGTACTTTTCATGGTTAAGGGCCAGGATAGCAGGCTACCTGACCCCTTGGTATGACTCACCACAGGTATTCTCATGTAACTTCAGCGCTGTGATTAGTATCATGTCTTATTTGTCGGCGGTGCCGGGTGCCTGAGGGGGGTAAGAAGTGCATCATCTCTCGTGGATGTGGTCACTTAGGCTGCGCCTCATGATCCCTGCTCCGCTTCACCTGGCCGGGCTGCTCTGAAAACCTTATGCTGTTAAAAACCTGTGAAAAAACACAGGTGATTTAAAAATAGTCCCCCATCTCTCATTCTGATGAAATAACATGAATTTATAAATTTCTCATGCTATAATATGTTGGGCCAATATGAGGCTTATACTTAATGTTTTATGTGTTAAAAATCTAAAAACATAAAAACATTATAGTCTAGAAACATAAAAGAGATTATTCTAGATTTAGGCGTAATATAAATCATTGATTAACGCTCTCGTTGGTTTTCTTGAATATATGGGCTTGACCCATATATTCAAGAAAACTTGCCTTAACTTAAATAAGATCAGCATTTAATAAACTAGTATGATCATCTTCACCTTCAAAATAAGGCCAAGGAGTCTTGCCCACGCAATTTCTGTATCAAGCCTGTATATTCTATTTAAACTGTAGCATAATGCTTAGAAAGATAACTGCTCTGGGGTGATGGGTGCTTCGTTACGTACTTCGGTAATTTTTACTTCTTTGTGACTGGTGCGTGCCTTAGTTTCAGCCTGGTTTCCACCCACAGTCCTCTGTGATGCTTTTCTCTGCTGGAATCAGTTACTATCAGAAATCTCTACTAGGACGTGTCTGAGTCAATATCTGAACGTACTCTTAGCTAATCTTGTTTAGCTTTTGCTACTGTGCTTTTTGGGCTTTGAGTCACTTTTTAAAAATTGTTTCCAGTTTTCCAGCATCTGTTTGAGTCATGACTAGCAGAACACTTCAGCTGTAGAATCCAGGGCATATATATCTACAATAATATAAGTACACACAAAATCACTGGAAGCGAGACAGCAAGTGCTCTCCACCCCTGTTTTTTTTATCTTGACAGCACTTCTAAAATGTACTGTAAAATGCGCTCTGGTATGTGACTCATAAACCAATGTTTTGGGAGAGCTGTATAATCTACCTATTATTTCACTGATGTCAGTGAAATAATACAAGCTTTTGTGATATCATATACACCCAGTCATTAGAGAGTTAGGGTTGTTCAGCCTGGGGAGACCTTATGGCAGCCTTTCAATACTTAAACGGGGCTTATAAGAAGGATAGGGGCAGAGTTTTTAGTAAGGGCTGTAGTGATAGGACAAGGAGTAATGTTTTTAAACTAAAAGAAGGTAGATTCAGACTAGATACAAGGAAGAAATTTTTTACGAGGGTGGTGGAACACTGGAGCGGGGTGCCCAGAGAGGCTGTAGATGCCCCGTCCCTGGAAACATTCAAGGACAGGTTGGATGGGGCTCTGAGCAACCTGATCTAGTTGAAGATGTCCCTGCTTATTGCAGGGACTTTGTATGAGATGACCTTTAAAGGTCCCTTCCAACCCAAACCATTCTGTGATCCTATGATTATTTATAGGTTAGTAAACATTTGGAGCTAGCTGAAGCTCTGACTTGAGCATCATCCAATTTATGCCTATGTTACTACTCAGGAATGACTATCAGTGAGGTGGTCAGGCTCCTTCATAATCGGTTTAAGTGAACGGATACTTGAGTCCATGGTGCTTTGTGAATTGAGGACACTATCAACGAATCCTTTTCTTGATCTGCAGTGATTCCCCTTTACTCACATTTTACATTTTTAACAGTTCCGTAATCTTCTATGGGGTTATGTCTATGTTTGCATACTGTTATAGGTAAGAGTGGCAGAATCTGGCAGATGCTAGGCAATGTTTTCAATCCATCATGCAACTCCACTCAAAACTACAGAACAACCAGCGAGAACGTACCCAACGTACTGTTGTAACTAATAACGCTATGCAAGGCAAATTATAAGTGCTTAATGAAAAAGATTATTTTATGCAGTTGCCTATGATAATAGAGGCTGGACTTGGTGACTGAGAAGGGCCATGCCGGTCCTAAATTTTCAAGAATTGATTGCCCTGCAACAAACCAGCAAATGTGATAGTGATCAAAGTAAACTCAGTCATGGAAAGAATGATGGCAAATGATACGTATAGATATATGACCTCCGCTAAGATAAAGCTGGGAAAGCTGAGTACATGCTTGGGAGAAATTGTATAGTTTTGCCACACCACAAAAAAAAGGCATATGCTTGCAGTAATTAAATAATATGTTGATGCTACATTTCCAGCAAAAAAGTGCTCTACGGTTTTCGATTATGGTAAATGATAAATATAAGACATATTTGGGCTCAATATACATGAAAAATTAAAATACAATGTTGTACTGCTCATATAAACAGGTCTTGCAAACCATGTGTTAAAAATGAAACAAATCTGTAGCTATTTAGATAGAAGAAAACTATTCAACTAGAAAAGGAAATAATATCTATTTGCTGAATTCAGGCATTAACAGATTAAATATATTTCTTTCTATTCCTGTAATAATTGAATGCATATTCTTCTGCACCAAAATGTTACTGTATAACAGATATTTTTTACAGTACAACAAAATAAATACCTTCTTAAGCTGATTTGTTAATCCCTCTCAAAAATACTTACTTTGATTACATTAATATGCATAAAAATACAATAGGTTCAGGACTCCCAAGGGAAAGCACCCATTTTTTTTTCTGTTTGACTAATTCACATTAACTTTTCTTTCTTGTAGATTTTTTTGTGTGTGTCTGCAGTTTCTGCTTACTCCAATTCTACTTCCGCGTGAATCAAAACAGTTAATTGAACTTTGCATGTAAATCAAGCCACCTCATCCTGATGAATGAAACCGTCTAGCTGGAGCTTCATCAGTAGGAGTGTGTGGGAGAAAGGCAGCGCAAGCACGTCATGTGCCAGCCCTGGGATTCAGGGTCGCGTCCCAAACCGCCGCTGGCAAAGCCCTTCTAGAGGGTGGTTCTGCCAGCAGAGGGTTTGGACCCAAATCATCACTCTGCAAGCCACAGATGATGTTAAACGTCGTCATGGACCGGGAAAAAGATGGGACATTCCCAAAAGCTTGTGGGAGTGGAAGGATTTTGTAGCAGTTATTCTTCTGC